AGAAATTGGAAGCCTGAGACTCTGACAATAAATTTAATCATGGATGACCTTCTACAAATGCAATTTAGACCACAGTTAATAATGATCACCTTCCCAGGGCTGTGTTATCACATGTCAGGTTTCTGAACTGTATTTCTAGATCCACATATAGACTTTACAAAGTCCTGTGAGGCTTCAGTGCAGTGGCAGAGACAGAGGATAATTCGTTATTTTTGATGGCCACAATATGTAGTTCTATTTGTACTGATTTATATGAACGTTATTTTTGTCACTTAAACTCAACCATTTCAGAAATTTAAATTTTAGTTGAAGAAGACATGTTTCTTGAACTAATTTCCTAGCAGAAATTCCTCAACTACTTATATCCATAAACACTGTACTTCCCCGAACAGCTTCTACCATTACAACTACTTCCATATTAAGCAGCTCAGCAGATAAATAAAAGGAAGATACTCCTAGCTGCTTTTAGCTTGTGCGTGAAGAATGAGCGAATCTGAGCGTCAAGCATTTGGGCTGTGTGTCAGATTTGTCGGGCTCTGTCTACTCATTTCTAAAATGCCTGCGCTGAGTAGCAGGGTTTCCACCTGATTGCAGTGTGGGTGAAGAATGCTGTCCACTCAACTTTCCTCTCTCCTGCTCTTCTCTCGCATGTGTTCATGAGCTGACTGTGGCCATGATAGTAAATATTGCGTTAAAATTTTTAGAGTAATTTATAATAATTAATTCACAATAAGGGATTTTCACTTACATTGTTTATAATCAAACCACTGGCTAGCAAAGATTTTGAAGGTATATGGAAATGTATAAAAATCTGATAAATGAATGCTTGACTTACAAAATTTAGTACTTTCTTCTCATTTGTCTTTCAATATGATTTTAATCTACATTTCCAAATATTTGTCTCTGTTCTACACAGCAGTTACACCCGTGGCCAGTACCTTCAGCACAGGTAAGCCTCAGTCAGCAGGGGATTGCAGACACCACCCACTGCCTCAGGCCTTTAAAGTAGCACCAGGCCTTTAAAGTGATAGTGTGGTGGGAAGGCTAGGGAAAGGTTTTGGGGGAACAGCATACAAAATAATACTTTTCTGATTTTTTTTTTTTGCTTGTGATTTGTATATGTTAAAAGTTCACTCACATCTTGTTTCTACTTTGTGATGAAAATTTTTGAAAGTTTAATGTTTGAGTTCATTCATTTTATATATGACCATGGTTATTTTCAGAAGCATGATATACCTCCATGTAGAATTAATTTTTCCATTAGTTTCTCAAAGTCATCAGCATTCATTCCAAGGGTTACAGCATCAGACATTGAGATGATAGATAAATCAGAAACTTTATAAAAGTTACCAGTAAAGGTTTTTATACAGATCAAAAGATTTTTCATAAACAAACCTATAGCAACTCATATATTAGAATTAGCATCAGTTGATTACACTTTTAAACTATGAAGGTCTGAATTTTCCCCTACCGTCCAAACAATTTTCCTGGTTTAGCTAGTTAAAGATTAAGAATCCAGCACGGAGAGATGGCTCCACTGTTAAGACTTTACAGAGGACCTCAGTCCAGTTCCCAGCACCAACACAGTGGCTAACAACCTTCTGTATCTCCAGTTTCAGGGGATGCTACGCCCTCTTCTGGCCTCCTTCAGCATTTCACACATGTGGTACACCTACACACATTTAGGCAAAACACTCATACACATAAAATAAAAATAAATACATTTAAACTTTTAAAATCATCGTTGAGTGGGTTTTAGTGCTTTTGATGTAAATTAAATTATGAGGAAAAAAGCAAAGAGAAATGGCTAGCCAACATATCCCTGTAACTTTGCATCTTGTTTCTGTTCTTGATGTAGCCACCTTCTTTTATTTAAATGAGTTTCACATATATGTGCACGTGCAAACAATTTTGAGAAAATCATTAATGAATTTGTTCTTCAAATCTACACTATTTTTTATAGACCCACTTTCCTACAATTGGGGCCTCTTCCCACCAGCTTAGCTTGGTTTCCTTTTCTTCTGTAATTTATTAATTTCTCTATTGTGAAATGTGCTGACTCCTAAAGTCATACACCATGGTTTTTCATTATTTTATTCCCAATGCACTTAGTATGAAGCTATATGATAATATCCAGCAAAACTTACATGATGGATGGATAGCTCCTCATGTTGAAATTTGTAATTATAATTTTTTAAAGTTTCTAAAAAGAAAATTTGTAACTACTTCTGCATTTTGGCATAGAATTTCTGGTAAAGTTTGAATTAGTGTGTGAATATTACTTATATTGAATAATATTTGAGCTCTTATTATTCATTGAAGATAACCTTCCATCTGTAGATTAAAAGTATATAAGATAAAACCAATATTATTTTAGGATTATAGAGTGATATAATATTGAATTATGAAT